ACTTTACAGGAAAAGGAAAAAACAACTTTACTTTTAATGTAAGTTAATGGAACCAGACTTTTTTTCCACGTACCTTTGGGCTGTTTCTTTTGGTCTATTTATCATGAAATTTACACACAATATAAAAGGCAAAAGGTTTTTTCAAATAATATCAAAAACTGAAAGATGACAAGACAGCAGCTAATTGCATCATTTGAACAGCAATATTTGTAAAGAATAAGCACCAATCAACTACTGACTCCAGCACTCCTCTTGCCTCCCAGCTCTAGTGTTTTTCATAAACTTTATAACATGATTATAGTCATTTTTCTTTACCGTTACACCCCTAGTGTTGGTAGCAGTTGCAGTAATAGTAAAATTAGGCCTACTATTATTGTTATTATTAGAGTGTATAATGTTTTGATTTAGAACCTGTTTGTAAAAGAACCATCTAAAAATCATTTTATGTAGCAGTGGTTCTCAAACCGTTCCTCAGGACCCCCTGCATAGTCCAGATTGCTTCAAACCAACTCTCAATACATAATAGGTTAAAGAGAAAAACTGTCTGGAGGTCCCAGAGGACAAGTTTGAGAACCACTGCTATAACACCAAAAAAGGTTCCACTGTTGTTAAATAGAACCTTTTTTTGGTACTATATTCACAAGAGTGTATATTCTCACACTTGCTTTCTAAATGCACTAAATGAACAAAAACATAGCTATTTTCTTTGTTTAATCTGCTCTCCTACTTTAATAATATGATGCTGTTGTTATTTTGTAATGTTCTATGATTGCTCTGATTAACCAAAGCAATAATAAGCTCCAACCTGAATTGCACTCTGAATCGGCCCTTGTGCAGAGAAAAAAATAGTACCTCCATCAGTAATTAAAGCTGTGTGCATCTTTTATACAGTGATAGACAACATGGTAGCACACAGAGAGCTCTGATTCCACGTAGTGGACACTCAGTTTGATAGGGTTCATTCATTTTGAGCTTTAGGTTCACATCCTAGCTGTGCCACATCAGCCTGAAACCAAGCTGTCCAGTCTGCTTGCTATGGTGAACACGTTTATTTTCCAAAAGTCTTAGCCTGATTTTATGTGGTGACTAACTGTAGTTTCCAACCCACACTCAATTCGGTTCCACCCTGACTCTTCATTAGCTGCATTCCTCCTCTTAGTTTCTTGCTTCAAAAGCTCAGGATTTGGCAGAACATGTATTACCTGCTTTTTCTCATTTCTAGCATGCGATGTCAGAACTGTGCCCGGGGTAGATTAGCCTGAGGATGTGTGGCCATACTGGAGGAAAGCGATGCATTGAATTTACTTGATTCAAATTACAGCAGATGAAATTTGTCTAACTTTTGGCAATAATTGGGTTGATGTAATGTATTTCATTCATGTCAAAATGATGAATCCGACAAGGCCTCGCTGTGCTTAGTAACCAGCTCTGGCTGCTCTTTCAGCGTGTAACCATAGGTATGGTCCGGTCACGGTCCTGGACGTTGGTAGACACCAGAAGCTGAGTGGGCTCTGGGTTTACTCTGGCTCTTGGCTGGAAAGGAGAAGTGAAATGGAGCCCAGAAGCCCCTTCACGCCTCAGCACTAACGCTGACAAATGGATGTCTTTGTTACTGAAGTGCCTTTATTTGAGAACATCTAGAAGGTCTATCAGAGTGCTATCATTCAGTGGCATATCACCGTTCATGACAGCATGTTTGTCTGTCTCTTCTCTCCCCACATTTCTGCCCATTTACCAGACTCGTCTCTGCTTTTCGTCTCTTTTCTTTTGTGGCAGCTAAACTGATTTGCGCATGAAAAAAGAAGTTGAACATTCTTTTTTTTTCCCTGTATCCGCCAAGGATCGTTTTCTTGTCAGGATCGGCCTGGTTTATTTTGTCTGCTTTGCACTGTGGTGCTCAGCTCCATCTTTGCCAATCAGGGCCTGTCCCCCCTCCCTCAGTGTGCCCGCCTTTAATGCAGCTATAATGACGGTTTACAGAATTACACTCTTAAGTTTCACTCGCATGCCTTTGATCCATGACCGTTGGCTGGCTCTCTGCCTCTGAACGTTACACGCTCTCCGTTTCCGAAAAGCGTTCCTGCTTTCCGATGAAAGCTCGCCGGATGGGAGGCTGAGCAGGAAGGCCGTTAGGATTTCGCTTTTTTTTTCTCTTCCCTGCCTTTGCAGTGGTAGCAGCGTTGATGACAGTCAAATCCGACCCCTGTGAGACGCACTAGGCGAACCTCAGGGGAGCGCTGGGAGCGCTTTAGGAGTTCTGCTGAAAGGAAACATGTCAAAAGAGTGTCAGACACCTCCACGTTTTCTGATAAGCAGTTCATATTTTTTTCCCCCTTTCATTCTCAGCATCTCTGTTCTAGTTTCTCCTGCAAATCTGACCTTAAAGAAGACAAATCCGTGCGGACGCATATGTGCAGCGATGTGTGACAGGCCTGCCTGCACTTTTTATTTTTTTTTTGAGTAATTAAAGCAGATGAATGCTTTTCTTTCCCCTGTGTTGTCTTTGTTCGCCAGAGGAGCAGCTACACCCTTGCACGTCATTTTTCTCCCTTTCAGTCTGGCCGAGGCCTGGTGATGAGTTTTGGCGGTATCTGCAATCTCTTAATTGTGCTGTCGGTTCAATCTCATTCTCGTCTGAGCACCGTGAGCAGCTCGTGCTGCGCCTAATGGACTCTGAGATGTGGACACATCTGTACAGCCTTTTTCACGAGCCTCTTTAAGCGAGAGTAAGAGTGTTTTGTCATTAAGCGTGTCTTATAAACAGCGGGGTGAGGAGGGGCCAGCCCAAGATGAAGGCTCCACGTCGGTGCGTTTTCCGTCACGGCTTTTGACATGAGCAGTTATGAAATGAAAAGAATTATCCAATGTGATATCACGTTAGAGAACCAGATATGATCCTGTGCTGCTGTATTTTATGTACAGTCTGAACAAGTACAGATCAGGTGTCTATGCAGTGATACTGCCTATCTACTGTTCAGAAACAAGTCAGTGAATTTGCATATAATAAAATAGATTCAGTATTTAGTGTAGGAATATAGGAGTATATTTGATATAAGAGGCCTTGTGATTCAACATTAAGTATGATGTTGAAAAAACTGATTCCAGCAACCTCTGCATAATTCAATGGTTAAGATGTACACAAAGTCATTCAGAGTGGTTCGATGTGAAAACCTCAGTTCTAGAGTAACACTAGACGTCAGAATTGTTCACAGTGGTGGTGATAGGAACCAGACGGCTGAAGAGTTTAATGTCTGTAAAAAGTACCTCACAGAAAGCTGCAAAATAGTTATAAAAATGCTACATGATGGCTGAGACAGTGTCTTACCATAGTTTTGAGATAAGATTTTGGAAATCCATTCCTGGGGGAGAAAGACATGCAGGGCATTGTAAGTCAAAATAGTCCCCATACAATGCTATTTTTATTTTTTTATTTTTTATTTTTTTACCACTATTTCATCGTCATCAACATTACATACAAAAACTCAAAAGACACATATAGGTTCACTGGTCATTTTGTATAATAATTAAAATGGACGTTTTCAGGTTAGCCACTGCAACCCCATGGTCTTTGTTTACATCTCAACCAATGAATTATAGAGATTCTGAACAATCTGTGAAAGCCTGTCAGTTACACATCAAAATATTTCGCACAATATTTTAGGCGTCCATTATTGAACCCTTATTAATCTTTATCGAGCTAATAGCAGCTAATTAACTGACTATTAATTGCTACTTTATTTAGCAACAGCTACACTTCTGCCTGCATGTTATATATGTTAATGCTGTACACAGCCATTACCTGAGAATTGGGTCTACACTTAGTGTGCTTATTAATGAAATTAACTAAGTTCTAAAAGATTTCCTTAACAAAGCATGAGTTACATGTTTTAATTCTTATCAGTACCTCCGAAGTAAATCAGCAATTAGCTCTAAAGACAAACTGTCCCCCAATTTTAAAGTGAAAACTTTAGATTTCTAGTTGCCATTAATTCACTCTAGTTATTGCTTAATAAAGTAGTGATCCAATTCAAGATTTATTCATATAGCACTATTTACAACAGGTGTTGTCACAAAGCAGCTTTACAGAAAATTCGGGTCCAAACCAAAATGAGCAGGACGAGGGTGACAGTGGCAAGAAAAACTCTTTAAACCATGAGCAGAACCAAGAGGGAACCCATCCTCCTCTAGTCGACACCAGATATCAAACACTAATACAAGAACAATATAAATAAAGAATAAGACCATGAATATACAACAGTGAGTATGGAATAAAGAAAAGAAATGAACCCATCATTGGCCAGAAGTAGTTAGATAAACTAGTGATAACTGGTGACTGCTGTTAGAGGCCTGTCAGAGTAACAATGAGAAATAGATCTGTAAAAATTAGGGACTTCTGTTAGAAGCACATCACAGTGAAAATAAGAGTTAAATCCATGAAAACCAATGACTGTTTGAAGCCTGTCATGTTATGAAGAGCAGCTTAGGAGCAGCTAGTTGATTATCAGCTACTTGCTTTTTAAGGTTTAATAATAGAATTACACATGCTCTGGAAAATGCTCAGTTCACCCTGGTTATTGCTGAACACAGTAATAATGAACAGCCAGCTAATTAATAGCTGCTGGGTTGTTAAGGGTTAATAAGGACATTACAAGGGCATTATAAAGCCCCCCTACAGAAGTGTTACCATAAAGTCACTGACCTTTAACAGAGATAGCACAAATGCTAAAATGAATATCCCATAGTACTTGTCTGTAAAAAGGCCTCCAACATCTGACGTCAGGTGTCTTAACCCTTTTTAATCCCAAAGTAAAGCTTATATTTCAGTATTTTTTTTCAGTTTGGACATGCTGACCAGTCCTGGCCATTTAAGGGGTTAATTTCCAGAAGCATGCCATGGATCTTTTTTTGTACCTATGAAGGGGTTACCACTTTGGTAGCACTTTGCACTCTTAATTTAAGGGCATATTAGTCAGGCACATCCTTCTCTCCATGTTTTGCAGGCCGTGAGGAAGAGGATGTTGTAAAGGGGAAGAAGAGTTTCCGCAGCCAGGCCGTGGTCAGCCAGAACCCAGAGGCCGAGCTGATGCTGGAGGGCGAGGATGATGCTGTTAGCCTGCTGCAGGACAAAGACATGGACAACCTGGCAGGTGAGGAGCATCTATCCTTTCAGTGCAGCACACATAGTCTAGCCCTCAGGGTGCAGTTATTCTCAAAATGCTGAGCTCTCTGCTGGCCTTATTATGATGTGCTTAGCTTTCATACATTTAGTTGTGAAGTGTGTATTAACTCCTGAATTGAAGACCTATTATTTAGTTAACGGTTTAGGGCTTAAAATCCAGGAACTACTATAAATGATTGTTAGTACATTCTTGAAAATAAATGAGCCAAAAAGAGTTCTATGGGGAAATTCCATGGAAGAACCACATTCGATCCAGTAAATAACCTTTCAATAGACTGTGCTTTAAATGAGATGTGTGGGTGTAAAAAAAAAAAGGTTCTATACCAATTAAATATTGTTCCATAAGCGATATATCCAAGGCAAGAACCATTTAAAACCAGATTGTGAATTATACACTTACATTCAGGGGGGACGTCTACCTCTTACATATTTTACTAGACCAGAGTAGTGCTACCTCAAACATTTGGAATCACTTTTTTTATGAATATTTTTCATTTTAAGGCCCTCCCCACCCCCAACATTTTTACTTCCTTTCAACATCCAGATTAGGAGGATCAGACACCCCCCCAACCCCTGCTCAAAAAAACCTCCCTGAAATCCATGAACTCATCCTTTTCAGGAACCTTTATTTTGAAGAGTGTACAATGAAACTAATATGTAGATTATAGTAGTTAAGAGAGTGAAGAATCAATTTAGGCCCCTGTAGTTTAAGAGGTTAAATACTGTTTTTTTTATTTGCCATAATCTGCTTCAGATATGATACCATGAATGATATTTGAATCACATCATTAGAAATTACATAGAAATGTGTTTACAGTATGATTTACACTAGTTTCACTGACAATCTTAGTATCTTTTAAAAGGAGTAGTGAACTTTAGAGGTTCCATATTTTAAGGGTTAAGTAACATACAGTTGCCTGGCACTCTAGAGATGGACTAGCCAAGCAAGTATGAGTTATTTTGCAGTAGAACTATGTGGTTATGAATGTTTGACAGGCCTGTATAGTGTATGTTGTTCTGGACTGTGTTCCTCTGATGTTCTGCTGGCTCTGCTGAGCATGTGTTTATCTCTTCTTCTACTCCCCTCATTTTATTTTTCACTGTTTTGGATTTTTTTTCCCTTTCAGCACATTTCTGTCCACGAGTCTTTATCTCCAGAGGCAAGTGAGGCTATTTTTACAGTTAGACTAATTCCACTGGGACCATTAATCATTCAGAACTCAGAACTTAAATGATTGAACTTACATAGTTGCCTATATGAACAAAAAAATACAAACATAAAGTGACTAACAAAAAAACTACAATAAAATGATCCTCCATACTGATTAATTAGCAAATCGTCTGTCAATCAATAACGCATGTGAAATCAAGCTAATTTCACTTACTTAATATCACTTTCTTTAACATATCCTAATGACTGCTCGCATGAAATGAGATCATCTGTACACCTCAAGCCACACTGTGGTTTAAGAATGTGAATCTTGATTGAATAAGACTATCAAGTACATATAATTTTCTGGGCAGCTGTAGTAACTGAGCTGCAGCTGGCCGGCTGGCTTCTTCGAGCTGGCAAAGCTACATTAGCATAGAGCACTTCCATCTGTTGTGGGACTGCAACTCCATGATATATGCATTGCAACTGTACTGCAGACGTCTTATTAATTATGCCACAAATAGTCCTAGTGGACCCACACTACTAGGCCTGCACATTCATTAGGAGATTATAACGACACCCTCTGTGCAGACTTACACGCAGAACCAGAGGTTTATGAATATATAAAATAGTACACTGACCTGGTCATTTCTATCAGAGATTATGTGTCGTTAAAGCCCAACTGTGCCGGCCCTGGGAGTCCACTAGTTTGTCTTAGCTGCCAAAAGTGGAACTGTCCAACTTCCCTCTCGATTTAACGGCAGCTCTCTTGAGCCTTTTTTTTACCAGCTTATAGAATCCAGCAGCACACAGCAAAACACATAATTGCCTTTTTTGCCAGAGGTAAGTTAGCCAGCGTTCATCCACGGCTCAGATACAGATCAGCGCTGCATCTTCACTGATAAGTGTGTTTAACAATTTGCAGAAAATCGCTGCCTGAAGCCAGTTTGTGTTTCGTGAGGTCGTTTCACATCCTGTTATAGCTCATAAATTCTTGAAATGTTTTGCTGTGCTCCAATCACAGGGATTATAAAGCAGCAAATGGACTGAGTTTCTATTTATGGCTCATCGTTTTTTCCATGGCCTTTCCCCCTTGAAACACTTTTTTGGGCCCCTTTAATAAAGTCAGCTCCGTCCTTGGTGAAACATTTCCTGGTACTGCATAGCAGTGTAATTGTAATTGTAGCTATTACAATACTTAAGCAGTTTGATTTTAAACGAGACCATTTGAGAAAACACACAGTCATTGTCCACTAACAGGCTACCATACCTGTGTAATCTGCTCTTTACATGTTCAGAAGTAACTTTATTTATTAATTTACTTACTTACTTACTTACTAATTATGGTCCACTCCACTTATCATGGAATGGTCACACAACTGGCTTACAAGGTTTTGATAGACATTGACAGTATATGAGACCATCCTTCATTTATCGAATCTCCATTCAAAATGGCCTTTAAGTACAGGTTATTCATTTTCAGATGATATTTCTGAGGAGATTAGGTACATAGGATAAGAGTACAAAAAATTATTGAGCAACATAGCAAAAATGGGACTCAACGCTATGAGTCTGAAAGGATGTGTAGATGTCGCGAAGGCCTCACTGAGGAAAGGATCCAGACAAAAAAGGATTTGAAAAAAGTTCAGACTTCTACATCATTCTGTGTTTTGAATCACTTGGATTGTAAGACACAGAAACCACAACCAACTTCTGAGACTGAACTTTGGAGGTGTGGAAAAACATCCCCGGGTTTCTTAAAAAAAAACTGAAAGACAGAAACTGTAATAAAGGCAGGTGGTGGACACGCTAAATACAGATAATGACACAGATAACAATCTGTTCAATATATTTAGTTTTTTTTTTTTTTTCCTGACACTGAAAAATGAATAACTTACTCTTAATGTCCATTTTGACTGGAATCTAAAAGATGAAGGTGGTCTCTGTCTTTTGCACAGTACTGTACATAACTAAAGTATACGTTTCAGTGTGTCTGAATTTGTGGGTATCATGCATAATGGGAGAAGTTAGTTACCAGAACGTAACGTTAAAACTCTCCCTGTCAAATAAATAAGCCTGTTTTCACTGTAAACTGCTCAAAATGCTCACACTCTCAGCCCTTAGGCACAAGTCTATGCCTTCAGAAAAGCGCTGTCTTTGGGCTGTCACTGCCTTCACAGTCAGTTTATGCTTCAACTGTATTTGCAAATGTTTACACAAGGAGTATGCATTTATAATTATATTTAAATATCCAGTTTATGCGTGGAATGCATGAAGGAGGCCAATAAAGCCTCATTTGACTTTCACAGGTTGCAGTACGGTCGTTTGCTTGACTTCTGAGCCCAACGGTTGGCCAAGAAAGATGTATATTATAACTTACAATTGACTTTAAAAGGTGTCGACACTTATTAGACTCAGATACAGAGTAGGTGTACCCAATAAAGTGGCCAGTGATTGCATAAATGTGACTAGTTAGGCTTCAAATTATGCAGTACACATTCTGAATTCTTATAATTGTATATTCCTGAATAATATGGAATATGATCTGACATGAATCTTCCAGTAAAGGTTTTAGGTGAAAAGAGCAATTCCTGAACATTTATACTTGGTGATGTTTTAGCACAAACATGCAAGTAAACTTCTGAAAGCCTTAAAAACAACTTCTTCATATATCCGTCCCCAAAGACGCATTGCTGTCTGCACTGCATCTCTCATCCACAAGGGGAGCTGTGACAGAGAGAGAGACAGAGAAGAGGCCGAGCGTGTGCTGAGATGGAGCAATGTGCGCTGCTGTTGTTGTTTTGTTTCTACATGCTAATGCTAGTGCTAATGAGTGAGATGGAAACAGCAGCGCTGTCAACAACAGATCTCTGGCCAGCAGTGCAGTGGGCAGAGCCGCGCCTTACTGCTGCCAATCAGAGCCCTGAGCTCAGAACTACGGCTTTACGGGACACAAGCCCTGCCCCGATTTGTTCCCACACAAACAGTGCGTTTATGAGATGAGTGGCTGAGAGAGATCTCCCCCTCTATCTCTCTCTCTACCCCTCTTTCTCTCTGACTCACTCTCTCTCTCTCTCTCACTCCCTCTCTGCCCCCTCTCTCTCCCTCTCTCTATCTCTCTCTCTGTGTGTCTTTTATGCTATAGGACTGATGCAGTTGACTGTTGATTGTTCTTGTTATTCAACAAAGTTTTCAGTTTAGGTTAGTGGCCAAACGCTGCACTGCTGGCTCAGCTTATTTACTAACTAACTAAATATGAACATGTATCTTAGGATTTCTGCTGAATGTTTTCTTTTATTTCATCATCACAATCTTGAAAGAAATTAGGCACATATTTGTTGTCTTAAGCAGCTGAAATGTGGTAAACATTTCTGGAAGTCTAATTTGTGTTGTGAAACATCCTCTGCTGGGAACTTTTCTGCAATTTTGAATGCACAATGTGTATTTGTTTGCTATGCATGACATATTGTGATGGAAAAAAATCAAAACTAATACATAAATTGTGCCATAACTTTTTGCACATTCTGAAAATAAACAGTAATAAATAACTGTGCATGGAAATGTGCAGAAGCGTGTTCTCAGTTGAGGATGTGTTCACTTATTTTCACTTAGAAAATCAACAAAAAAATGTAGTTTGGTCTGTAATAGTTAACTATTATATTATGAATTAATATCTATAGCAATATAGTTATACAACAGTAATAATCTCTTACAGTTAGTTAACCCAAATAGTTTGTGAATGGTGCTGATACAGTAGTAACTCGTTATATTTCAGTCCATCATTTGATTAAACATACTTCATTCAGGCTGTGTATTTCTGTGTAACCCTATAATCATGTCTAAGCAGAGTTTCTGTCGTTTTCATCTTCATCGCAATTTCTAATTTTCAACAAAAACCACATGTGGTTTGGATATGAGAAGAAAATAAACAGCCACTGCCTTTTCCCTGCATGCACTTGTCCCTACTCTACGCTCCAGTGACATCACTGTGCTGATATCAGTCTCTGTCTAGCTGCTGCACCTGTTTCCCTTACACAGCTTTAAGGGGCACACAGACAATAGTGCTGCACTATATACCAGCTTTAGTCATGAAAACATAGGATGGCATATAATAATAATAATAATAATAATAATGATAATAATAATAATAACAATAATATGTTTAAAGGATGATCATATAGGAAAAGAAGAAACTTAAATATGTGGCAAAATCATCTCCTCTCATTCATAAAATATTCCATAAACCGTTTGCAAATCATTATGTACTATTATTATTTTTATTATTATTATTATTAGTAGTGGTAGTGGTAGCAGTAGTAGTGCTTATTTACATTGTTAGTTTTATTGGGCTACTTGGCATGGAGCACTGAGTGGTGTAAATCCAGGAGAAATTACACGCCACAGGGGGATCCCAGAGTATCCTATTCCACTCCATGTAAATATATTAATACTACATCCCAATTATGAAAAGGTCCCGAGAGGGATTAGGAGTAATCCACGCCTCTCTCTGTCCTCTCTGTTGTGGATTAACGCTGTATTGTCTTGCTTTTCTCTTATCACCTAATTCTAATGCTGACGGGCTCTCTGTGTTACGTGGATGATGTGAGGAGAGTCAGTTGCTGCGTAAAAGACTGTAGGTTTAGTGGAGATGTGTAGAGAGCTGGGCAGTGAGAGGGAGAGGTGAGGGGAAAGCTGTTCTCTGTGCAGTAGATGGGATAAATATAGCAGTGGAATGGGTGTAGAGCTCAGCTCAGCCAGTCTGCAGCACAGACAGACTCAAAAGACCTACTGATTATAAGACTAAGAAAGAAACAATATGGGTTATAAAACACTGAATTGTAGTTTTCATATTTCATGCGTTATGCATATTATTATGCAATAAAAATTCCAGATTTTTTTTGTAGACCACAATTCAACTGTAGACCACAAATATGTAACATACATATATATTTTTCTGTTAATATATATTTATATATTTAGATTTATCTAAATTTGTTACTAAAATTACTTGAAAAAATGAGAAGCAGAAAATGCAACCAACTTCTAAGACTGAACTCTGGGGATTTGAAAAATATCAGCAGATTACGTGCGTAATTACGTTTTATTGCTTTTCTAAGTGAAAATAAGGACGTCCTCTGCGGAGAACACACCTCTGCACTGGTAATTACCGTTTAATTGCTGAATGTGCAAAAGTTAAGGCACATTTTAGATGTTATGTTTTATTTTTTCACCAATATGTCGAAGTCAATACAAATTGTTCATTCAAATTTCAAGAAAAAATGCTATATTTAAGTGTCTTCCTTGTAGAAAATGTTTTAACATATGCAAAAAAAAATTCAGACTCCCAGAAATGTCTGTAGACCACAATTCAATTGCTTGAAACAACAGATACGTACCTAATGTACACACACATATACTACATACGCTTGATGTATCTAAATTTGTAACTCCGATTATTTGGAAGTGAGAAGCAGAAAATGCAACCAAATTCTAAGACTGGATTTGGAGGAGTGGAAAAATATCTCTGCAGATTTATTTGAAAAAAAGTCTGCACCAAACACTAAATACCGGAAAAAGAAAAATATAAATAGAGAGTTGCTGTTGAGCTCTATGTTGTTCGTAGTGTGAGCTCGTAGGCCTGTGATCTCAGTGAAGGAGCCCATTGGGAGCTGCGACTGCAACCCAAATCCACTTGTAATCTTGCAACAGTATCGGCCATAAGTGGCTGAGGAGTCCAGATTAAGATTGATGAGACCTTAAAGTGGCTCTCTGGAGTTCAGGAGATCGATAAATATCCCAATTTTCAAGAGGCTCTTCACTCCTCAGACATCACCGTGCGACTGTGTGTGTGTGTGTATGTGGGACACAGAGGCAGAAAGAGGTCAAAAAGCCATCACAAATGTTTTCAGAGCGTTTAGTCAGGTCAATTTTGAAGGTTTTGATATGTTGAGATGGGGTGTGTAAAGGTCTTATTAGATTAGACGCAGATTAACACAGCATAACCATGTCTCCCCCAGCTGGGCTGAATGTGAGGTGGGGGGATGGGGGGAGGTTTAGAATATAGCAAAGCAATATTGGGAAAAATATGCAGGAAATAGGCCTCACACAAACACAATTCTACTGCAGTCTTACAGCGTAAAAGCAATTTGTTGTTTTGATTCAATGAGGTCAGCAGCCAGGCTGCCTTAAAGAGCTCGGCTGATGCTGAAATAGTAAAATAACAGCAACATGAAAGCCCAGACGAGGCTCTGAACAGGACTGGGGAGTTGAGAAGTGAACAAGCTTTGGGAACGCAAAAAGGCTGAATGATGTTTAGTGTACAGATGTGTGCATTTGCTGCACAGTCACAGTAGCAGTAATCTGTAGGCCACCGTTATCACTTAACTAAAATATGGAGGCTAATCTCATCAGATAAACACTGGGTGGCTCTATGATTAAAATAGCACTGAATAAATGGGTGAATAAACAGTTAATAACCAGTCTGATGCTGACTAGACAGACACAACACATTGTAATATCTACTTCTTTCATAACGTCATAAATCTGGGCTCTTGCATTGTGTTAACTTCTGGTATTTCAAGAGCATGAAATCTGTTTTAAACAGGTTACTGACTTTATTAAGTTAAAACAACAAAAACATCTTTTTTTTCCTAGCGTGTCTTCATAAAACAGCGTGAAGGCCGCAAGCAGCGGTCAGCGCAGTCTGGACTGTGGAGAGTGAGCTATACACAGCTATATTGGCTTAGACGTCATGAGTCATTTGTAGCGTTATTAGAATTTAGCATTATTAGAAATAATTGTTAGTTGTGTTTATTTATTTATTCGACATATTTGGTCATTTCACAAGTGCAGCTTATAATGTTGCTGTAGACGTCATGGAAGCACACACTGCTAAGTTAGCGTGTTAAAGGCGGGAAAGCAGCTCTGCCGCCGTTTTATTATTGCGTATTTTTATAGATCACTTTTTATAAACGTGTAGATTTGCTGGCCTATTTGGTTATTTGGTGATTTTACAAGTCTAGTAGTGCTGTGAACTGATTTTTGTTAGCATTTAGCACGGCTAAATTTAGCATTAAAATATCAGTAAGGCTGTGGTTTTTTAATATTTAAGTATTAATTAAGTATTAATATTTATTTATATATTTATTATATTTTTCCTCAACACATCTGCATATCTGATTATTTGACGATCAGATGAACAATATTGTACATTTGAAGTATTCATATGGCGGTAAAATTACGCTCTGCAAACTTTGTTGTCGTTTATTTATTTATTTATTGCGTCTCATTTGCATTTTTGATTATTTGCCAATATTTATATAATTCAGTTGGAGGTAGGGCTGCTCTTCCACACTATTATTTGTTTATCATTAAGTCTGTTTATATTAAACCCCCAACAAACTGCTAGTTTTTAAATATTGGTTGTTTTTAGAGGTTTAGAATTGATGCGTTTGTGAAATGAATATTAATTTTAATATTAATATTAATATAAGTCAGTAAGTCTGTAATGTCGACCTGTTTTATCGCTGTTTATGTCGGCGCCTCGTCCTGTTTGCTGATTGGACAATGTTTGATTTGCTGTATAATAGTACTGCTGAATCTATAACCAGAGTGTTGTCCCCTGCAGGCCCGGTGGTCCTCAGTACCCCTGCCCAGCTGGTGGCCCCTGTGCTGGCGGCCCGGGGGACCCTCTCCATCACCACCACGGAAATCTACTTCGAGGTGGACGAGGAAGACCCGGCCTTCAAGCGCCTGGACCCCAGAGTAGGCTGCACTCCTTTATCCTCCTCATCCCTCATTCCCTCCCTTTCACTACAGCTCAGACGGTTCGTGCCTGTAGTCGCTGCAGGTCAGGTTTGCTGCCATACAGACGCAGCTAAAAGCGTTTTATTGGTAGCATTCAGTGGTTTAGTGAGTCAGTACTGATGTATGAGTGAGAGGATTGGCTAAGGGGGACATGCAGGGGTGTAAACAAACAACCACGCGCGCAAAAATTCAGCCGCATAAATGTAGTAAAAAGTAGCGATTGCGGTCATTTTTCCCGAAACGTTTTCAGACGTTCAGAACGATCGATCAAATAAACTAAATCAGGATTCTGCACCATCCAGCAGCTCTTTATTCCAGCCATTCAGTCCAGGCCTGTGAAAAGCGCAGCAGTTCCCCTCAATCTAATGAAAACTGACGCTAAAGACAAAAAAAAACCTGGAATAAACGTTTTCTTGTCGAAATCTTGCCTGAAAACCAGTGCAGTGTTTATAGAAAATGCTTTTCATATTATCACCTTAACGCTCACATTTTATGAATTCATCTCCGAATCATTATTAGCACACAAATATCCTGTCTTTGTTTTTTTATTAACTCTTTAAATAAATTCAGAGACAGAAATAAAAAATCCAATCACAATGTTATATTCCAGTGTATTTCAAGTGCATTGTTTTCAGGTATATTTTTTCCATATATATAATATTCTCATTTTCAGCTTTTATCATGGAAGCAAGGTACAAACAAAACAAAAAAGAAAAAAAGAAAAGAAATGGTGGAATATACTTTAAATAAAAATTCAAGTATAAGCTTATGGAATGTCTAAAAAAATGTAACAAATAGTACTACCAAAAATGTAAACTCTAGAAATTAGAAACTTGCCATCGACAATAGTTAAACTATCACTGATGCAGATCTAAATGTGTTTGTTTTGGTTTTTTTTTTTGTCTTTTTTTTTGTTTTGTTGTTTTCAGAAATAATTCAGGCGAATGTTAAAACAGGTGAAATGAAATTTCTATTTACGTGTCACAGAAACAACATTCACAAATTTTCAGACCACCGGAATCACGAGCTACAAATGTGTGTATTTACAGTATAAAAATGTACAGAGTTGTCAGTTTGCCAAGGCTGGTCATTCATGGGGGGAGCACTGGTCTGCTTTTGGAGAATTCAAAAATTAATAATTAAAAAAAAAATCTTAATCTTAATCATCTTAATGGAGGGCACGGCTCGTTAAGTTAAAAAAAAGATATAACACTGATAAATAACCACTCATTTCTGATTGTAGATTTTTTGCTCGCAAAATGAAAAAACGATCACAACTGGATGACACGAATTAGGAAAAATAGACGGAATTTTCTTTACAACAAGACATTGGACAGAAATTGACCAGCAGGAATTTTTTGTTCAGTCCAGGCAGCTTTTGCATTGCCTACAGGCCTCACAGAGCCTCCTAGTCTTACTCTCAGCTCTCTCGACTTCACATCTAAACTCTTAAAGAAAGGCTTCACTTTGTTTTCTTTAATTACCTCAGATTTCCGGGGGTTTAGAGGTGGTCAGTGTTTCCCTCGCCAGCTTCCATGTCTTTCACATCAAATTCTTATTTTTACATTTCTTTTTTTCTCTCTAAGGTTGGTCAATATTTCCCTCGCCAATTCGCCAAGTCTTTAAGGTTTTTTTTTGGGGTGTTTTTTTTTGTTGTTGTTGTTTTTTTTTACCTCAGATGTTCTCCAGGCCTGTTAGTGTTGGTGAATATTTCCTTCTCCAGTCTCCAAAGTCACATCAGAATGTACTTTCTTTCTTTCATATTTTGTTCTGTTCTCTCGTTCTTTTTCAACCTCAGAGCTTCTCCAGGCTTTTGGGGTTGGTCAGTATCTCCCTGGCCAGCCTCCACGTCTGCTTGGCCGCGTTCTCCAGCGCCGAGTGCGGCTTGCCTTGGAAAAGGTCCAGGTTGGGCAGGAAGTAGTGCGGGCAGCGGCGGCACTGCAGGCACGAGATGAGCTGCAGGAGGATGCCGTTGAGCCGGTCGCCCAGGCAGTTCTCGTCCCAGTCGCTCTCGCGCGGGTGCTTCTCGCACTCGTACGACAGCAGCGTCTTCATGTGGTAGTTGTTGAGCGGCTGGCCGGGCAGCTCCAGGTGCCGGTCGCGCAGCGTCTTCAGCACCGACAGGCACTTCTTCCTGCAGCCGCCCAGCAGCAGCCTGTTCTCGGCCTCGGCGAACTGCAGCACCCAGGCGTCGCTCTCCGCCGAGCTCTGCTTGCCGTTCAGCGAGTAGCACTCCTTGGAGAGCAGGTTGAAGCCCTCGGCCTTGACCTCGGCAACGCGGTTGGGGCCCGGCCACGGGATGTGCGGCAGCGGCCAGTGCGCCGCGCTGCGCGGCCAGATGCCCGTGCACTTGAAGGCGGGCGTGATCTGGACGACGTAGCGGTCTCTGATCCTCAGCTTGACCTCGCTGGTATCCGCCACCATCTTGACCACGTCCCTGTAGCTGCACTTGTCCACGGCCTGCGCCACGAGCGTCTGGAAGCGCGAGCGGATCTTGCGCGCCGACAGGTAGCCCGAAGCCGTGATGAACTCGACCCACAGGGACATGCTGCGCTTCCTGCCGTCGCTCAGCTTCAGCACGGCGCAGCCGGGCAGCGAGCCGTCGTCCACGAAGTTGAAGACGCCCATCTGGTTGAGGTAGAGCACCACCTCGAACTCGGTGGGCGAGACCACCTCGAGGCCCTCATACCGGTTGTCCAGCTCGTTGAGGGAGCTGATGAAGCGCGGCTCCTGCACCTCCACCTCCTTCAGCACGTCCGACACTACCTTGCACACGTCCCGGATGGTCTTGGCCACGGCCGCCTTGCGCGCCTGGCACTTCTCCGTGTAGTACTTGTTCAGGTGGTACGCGAGCTTGGCCTGCGCCGCCAACATGTTGGGGCACAGCTCCGGGTTGTACACCGGAGGGGGCTCGCAGTACGCCGACGGATCCAACGCGGCCGCGGGCACGGGAGCCAACTTTGGAGAAGAAAAAAGAGCAAAAAACGGCGAGAAAAAAAGGCAAAGCGGGTTATTTGTGCGTCGTGCGCATCCGTGCGTCCTCCCCGTTAAGCACAAGCATCAAATTCGAGAGGGAAGAGAAGGAGGGAAAAAAGAAAAATTCAAAAATAAAAGTCCACCAGTTAGTTTCCAGAGCGAAAGTGGAAGTGACCTCCGAGCCCGAGTTCGCCTCAAGTTTTGCTGTTGTTGTTTATTTTTTTCCTTCTTCTTCTTCTTCTTCTTCTTCTTCTCGTTATTCTGCTTTTTGGGGCTCGTGCTCCGTTACGTGTGTGTGAATGTGTGTGTGTGGAGGTGTGTGTGTGTGTGTGAGAGAGTGTGTGAGTGCCGTACTCCTCCTCCTCCTCCTCCTCGCCGTCGTGGTGTGTTTTGAGATCTGCGGGACACACACGCCGGAGTGAAGTGATGGAGGGGGCGGGGCTTGCGCCCGAGCGCGGCCAATCACGGCCTGCCGCGTCACCGTCGCGTCCAGTTTTTCCTCCGAGACGATTTAAGAGATTTTTAGAGCAGAAGGAGGAGAGCAGAGAGGACACAGCTCACACCTTCACACCACTGTAGCTGTTTTGTTGTTTGAATGTAATTTTATTGATTTTTTATTTTGGTTTTGGTTTTATTGGTTTATTTTAAAGCACACAGAGAAGAGCAGAAAGGACACAGCTTCAGATCAGACTGCACCAGGTTTACTGTAGCTTAGTCATTTTGTGTTTTAATTGGTTGATTTATTATTATATTTTTATTTTGTTTGTACTTTATTACTCCTTTATTTTTTAATTATTATTATTATTATTATTATTATTATTATTATGTATTTAGTTCATTATTTAGTCTAACATATTTTGTAACTTTTTTATTTTTTCTCCATTTTTTCTTTTGTTTACATGTTCAATCACTTCCATCCGCTGCAGCTTATTATTTTATTTTATTTTTTTAATTAAACGTCTTAAATGCACGATTTTTCATTTCATTTCAATTCATTTTTTCATTCATTTTTCACTCCCCCATCACACCATTGTTATTGTTTTTAATTTATTTTTTGTACATTTTCTTCAGGCCGTTCATCTTCACCGCACTGTTGTTGTTTACCTGTACTTGGCTTCTCGTCCTGCTCGCGCTAATTTAATATCGTTGGTTTTTTTTTATTGTCATTTATTATAGCCGCGATGTTAAGACTGTAAAACACGACGATGCGCATTATATTAATATTATGAAATGGTAATATGCGATAACACTAGAATGTAACGTTATTATACTAATTATATTATTTGCTAATTTGCATCGTTTGAAGATGCAGAGCATTTAAACGTGGCACTTACTGTTTATGTTCTTATAAGACGCAATATTAATACCTCCCATAAACCTGTAAATATCACGTGTTATTAATGAAAGCAGCTTCAGTTTAATGACTACAGTAAATATTTGAAATAAAACAGCTGAAAGCAGGTTGGTGTGCAGATGTGTTTCCTCCTCGGGAAAAAAGTGACAGAGCATTTTCGTTTTGTTTTTCGTCTATAGCACGTGTTTCTTAATTTAGTCATTAAAATAAGATTAAGATTTTTTTTTTAAGTGAATCGAGCGCGCGCTTAAGTCGCCGGTGCGCTGTTTAGCCGATGTTTAGCCGATATGTCGCTATTTAATATCCAGTCTTTATCATTCTGTTTTCTGAAAACTCTCCGGTGTCAGCGAGGCCTGAATATGAGCTATTTCAGTAAGAAAATCTCTGTGAAATGATCTGAAGATCTCTGGCTTTGTGCGGTTAGACACGTATTCTCGCTCAATGTGTATTTGTATGTGAGCTCATCTCTCCAGCCATGTTCTTGTAATGGATGAGGATCATCTTCTCCAGCCAGATTTAAAGCATTGGTTATCATTTCTGCCTGATTCTTTACCCATCTTTGATTCTAACCTTTTGACCATTGGTTCAAATGTGCCCTACTGCTATACTTCATTCCTACAAGAAATGAATTTGTTTCAATTTAATTTGAAAATTCTTGAGGCTTGTAATTTCCATCAACCTTAAATTCTGAACTAAATTGTTTGATTTAAATTTTTGTCTTTCAAAAAAAAAAAAGTACACTGGTAGGCCTCTGATTTTCATTCCTACCAGATTCCTACCAGAACTGTCCTGATTCATTTTAATTTTCACTAAATATTTTGTCTTTTTTTGGCAACCAGGTCAATATGTAGGCCTCTAATTTCCATCATAGGTCATTCTTAAGTTCATCTTTTGATTTAGATTTTGACTGAAGAGTGTCTCCTTTTGACTACTAGGTCTATACGTAGGCCTGTATTTTCCACCGTGCCTCAGTCCTGCATGAAACACATTTATTTGATTGCGGGTTCACAAAATAGTGGCTCTCTTTTTGACTAGTGTGTCTCTTAGCAGGCCTGTAATTTCCATCACTCTTATAAAATCAATTGTTTGATTTTAACTTTGGCTAAATATTGTCTCCCTTTTTCCCGTGAAGTCTATAAGTCCTATAAGGCCCCTTCATTTCCATCTTGCATCAATCCTACCAGAAATCAATTTGTTTGATTTTAGTTCTCACAAAATCTACAATGTTTTGTTCAATAACTTCACCCGTACTCTTTCCCCATCCTTAATAACCTTCACTTGATCCTTCTCTGACTCTGGCTGCATTTTTTATGCATGCTTGTCCATCTAAGACACAAAGATGCCTTGCAAGCAGTAATAAGGCATCTAAAAAGAGCAAATCGCATGCATTTAGCAGCCAAAGCACCTCGTGGCTCTATGGAAAGATCCTCTGCGCCCATTCTGAGCCGAGCCCTGCCTGAACACAGGAGAAGCTTTCACACACACCACACAGAGAGAGTACATGAGATTTTCACCAGTGCATTCAACTATAGGCTACCAGTCTATAGGCTACCAGACTGTACAACCAGCTCCTAGCAGAAATGTATGAAGTATAAAGCTGTAGTAAAATAAATAGTGTTCTTTAATGATAGTTGATATGAACTGCTTTCAGGCTCATAGTTAGGCAAAGGTCTTTGCCTGCTGTTATAATTAAAAATTCTTGTTTATTCCAGCTTTCTTTTAACCTTATAAATCTTAGGGATCTGTATGTGGGTCAGCATACATAACTGCATATCATTGCTGCCTAAAAAAGCAAAAAACAAAAATATATCTCCAAAATTGAAACGCCAACTTAATGAAAGTCAGTGGACCAAGATTTTATTTTATATCACTTCGGACCATTTCTATTGGTCAGTTCATCTGGACTTGTTCATACAATGTAAAGGGCTACTGCTGTGCTCAAGTAATGTAGAAAAATAAAAGTTAGTTATATGCATATTAGTTTTGGAGTAGTTACTGAATAATGTATAGTAGTTACTGAATAATGTCTTAAAATGGCTGAATTTTAAGTTTAGGGTTTTAAGATTAAACTTTTATGAATGTATAATATTTAACCACAGAAATATTACTTAGTCTAGTCCCAAAGCCAAAATTTGGTAGTTATTATTATTTTATAACAGCTTTATTGCACGTAATAGCCCTTTTTAAAGATATTTATTTTTGGACAAATTCAGAGATAATTGCTGCACAGTGACTTATTGTGAGCCAGTTCATTTCCTTCATTCTTTGTCTGTCCATGAATTTGTCTGAAGCAACATGCTTTCCATTCTTCACATTCAGTTTTGAAGCAGATTGAGTGGCACGCTTACCAGGTCTGTGCTAAAGCCGGAGTGTATCTTTGAAAAAGAGCACATTCGTTCGTCACTGCACAGAGATTAGGCTTCATGGAGGGTCGGCTCGCATTGAAGTGTGCTTGGTGCGGTCTGTTTCCAAAGCGGATGTTTTGTTTTCCAGCCTAATAATATCTCTGGACTGGGATTATGTATTAGAATACTGTTGTTTTCCCAGACAATGTGAAAGCGATATTTATTAAGGACAAATCACAATTGAAAGAGGAGAAAAGTGCTTCATAGTGCTCCATATTGCCTGTGATGTAGCTACAGTGTTATAATGTACAACAGTACAATCTCTGCAGTTCTGCAGGAGGCCGTAGGGCCAGCTGAAAGGTTCTCCAGTGAAAGCAAGAAAATCCCTCTGTCTCTGCTAGTGACACTATCTCGCTCTCACTTTCTTTGCTCTGTAGCTCACTCCAGCTCTCTCTGACACGCAAAAGCTCCTGCTCACTCTCTATATCTCACAGCAGGTACGTCTTCTTATTGGATGCAGACGGGAGAGCTCTTTGCTGGTTCTTATTCTAAAATTCTTCCAGCCGCTTTTGTTCTCCTGATTCAGTTCCCAGCAGTTGCCAGCGTGTTCCCTCCGTATTCCCCAGCACCCGGCTCCATTTCGCCAGGATTAGCCCCTTCTAATCTGCAGCATGTGCTGGGGGTTACTGCCCGCTTAGCCAGCTTTGGCATCAGCCTCAGGTTTAACATATAATTTACAAAAAAAAACAAAACTAAAAGAAAAACACATTCAACCTGGTAATTTAATGTCAAGAACACTTGATATTATACAGAGACCATACATATTTTATTTAGTATACAATCTCAGGACAGCCTATATATATATATATATATATATATATATATATATATATATATATATATATATATAGGCTGTCCTGAGATTGTATATATATATATATAACTATATATATATATATATATGCAAACATGTGTGTATATATATGTATATATACATATATACACATATATATGTGTATATATATATATATATATATATATATATATATATATATATATATATATATATATATATATGTATATATAATCACAAGGTCAACTGTTTCAAAACTGTCGACAACTAAACATTTTTTTGTTTGTTTTTAATGTGTCCACCATTTTCCTTTACTACAGCTTCCATTTTTTTCAAGTGATTCACTTCCAATTTTTCAAATAAATCCACAGGGCTATTTTTTCCACACTTGCAAAAAGTTTAGTCTGGTTGGTTACATTTTTTGGTTCTCATGAACCAAACACATGCAGTGATGTCATGGTCTGCACACTGCACCGTGGTCAGTGTTTGAATTGCGAATATTTGTCTTTTTTGTCTATTTCCTTTTGTCAGTAGGAGCTTCTTTAACAGCTACACATCCACTCAAACTCATAGCGCTGAGTTGTCTTCTCACAGTGGAAGGATGGACAGAAACACCTGTGGATTTTTTCATATCTGAATCAAGAGGGGAGCTTGATTTTCTCCTCTCTCTCAAAGATGAAAGCTTACTGTTTATCTGTCAGTGGATTATCTTATATCTCCTCAGAAATATCTCCAGATAAATGAATAATTTGTACTTGGTCTCTGTTTTCACTCTGTACTGTAAATACATAACTTATTATTTTTATTATTATTACTAACTAATTTATAGTATTT